AATGAACTGGCAGATTGAGGGGACAGTGGGGAGGGGCAGAAGAACCGTTGACAAGGGGCATGCGTGGGGAGGGGGGGCAAGCAGGGGCACCCCCAATTACCATCGGGGGGCACAGAACTTCTCCGGCCCCAGGGCTGCAGAGGCAGGGAAGATCGATTCCCTGCCGGGCCAGGGCTGGGGCAGGGTGGAGGGAGGGAAGATCGAGCTCCGAAGGGGGACGAGCTTCTGTGCCCCCCCCAAAGGTCAGGGGAATGGAGAGCCTGTCTTACTAGAGGAGACTAGGAGAGCTTGGTTTGTTTAGTTAAGGGCTCCCCTAGATGGCGAGCTAATACGTGGCAAGCTGGCACGGGAGTAGATCAGTGCACACTTGGGACCTATTAGTGCACGGTAGCAGGGTCCACATGGACAATTAGTGCGCAGCAGGCTGGTGCCCTGCGGATTGCACCCTCGCTTGCCGAGCACTAACTCGCTCTCCAGACAAGCCCTGGTGAAACGAAGGCTGAGAAGGGCTCTGACTCCTCTCTGTAAATACGTCCGGGGGATGAGGGGTAAACACCACGGAGGGAGAAGAGCCATCGAGGCTAAAGGACAATGCTGGCACTAGAATAAAGGGGAATAAACTGGCTGTGAATACGTTTTAGGCTGGAAATTAGAAGCAGGTTCCGAGCCATTAGAGGAGTGAGGTTCTGGAGCAGGCTCCCCCTAGGAGAAATGGGGACAGACAACCAAACAGGTTTTAGTTTCTGAACTGAATTATGTGACAGCAGAGAGTGAGGAGGTGAGCCTGCGCTCTGATCACTTAGATGCTAATTAGGGCCCAGGAGAAGCTGATTGAGGGTAATTATCTCATGGGCTGGGTGGGCTAAACATTCATTTGGCCTCATTAGCCCAGGGCTGGTAAAGGAGGCCCAGGAAGGAAGTGCAGGGAGGGAGGAACGGGGCTAGCTGGTTCCAGTCAGACAGGGGCCTCAGAGCAGGGAGATCCCTGTTCCCCTCAATCCTGCTGAGTGGGCTAAAAACTGAGCAAATATTATAACTAGGCGGGAGCATGCGGGACTGTGGTTATATCGGTGAAGGGGAATCGAAATGAAGTGTCACTGAGAGCCCAGCCGGTGGAGTCGGGGCGATTTCTGCAGGGAAGAGGATGGGGGTGGAGACAGGCCCCTGTTACGTGGGTTACCTGCAGTAGCAAGGGATTGAATTCAGTGACGCAGGAAGTCCCTTCCGATCCTATGTTCCTAAAGCTCTGGCAACATTCCCAGCAATTGGAATATCCCTGATTTTCTGTTCTCTTCCCCCTGGAAACGTGCCGCAGTGTAAATAATAAAGAGAGCCATGTTGAGCTTTCCCTCCTCTCTGAGGACACTGGGAAGCCAAGTGTCCTGCCCGAGTCGCTGGGCCTGCCGCGCTGTGACACAGACGAGGGCAAGGAGAAGAGAGAGGAGTTCAAGAAGCTGAAGGCAAAACGGAAAAGAAGAGTCTCAGAAGGCGAACAGGTACGTGCACGCAGGGGGATTGTACCCCAGATTGGGGTGGGTGGTTGTGCTGAGCGGAGGGGCAGAAATGCGTTCCCCTTGCTTCCGTCCGCTTCACCCTCAAAGCGGGACATTTATGGGGGATAAAGATTCAGCTCATTTTAATGGAAACTAAAATGAAGTTTTTGCAGAATAGAAAAAAGAACTATGGTCCAGAACTCTCCTCTGCCACAGACAGAACTGCATGAATTGCAACATCACTTTGTATGAATGGGGGAGTCTGACTGCTAACAAAGAGGGCTTGAACTTGGGACCTCTGGATGTTAAAGCTTGAGTTTCAACCGCCTGAGCTAAAGGATCCACCTCTGATAGCCCATGATGTAGCAGGCTCATCAATGTCTCTGTGGCCCAGCCACCACGGCACGAGGATGGAGTGCCACACTGGGAGTGGGGATTGCATACACCCCTCTAGACAACTCCCCTTGGCCACCACCCCCAAGTGTGTGTGTTTTGGGGAAGAAAATCACTGGTCCCCTGCCTTATGTTCTTGTATCTTGAGTTTTTTGGCAGGCAACTCTGCCCAGCACTTGCCGGAATTTGGCCCATAATAGTTGGCTTGACCATCTGCCACGTGGATTGAGGCCTGCCACACTCATGACTTTTCTCTTGTGACTCATGTTGTACCTTGTGTCTCTGGGTGATGGGGGAAGGCGGTGACCGTTATTCCAAGGCCTCTGCTTTCTCTGTCTGTAGCCAGTGTTTGACCTTTAAAATAGAATTCTTTTAAAGTCTCTTTCCAATGGCTCACCCTTCCCCCCCGCCTTCACTGCAGGAGGCGAAGCCCAGGAAAAAGCGAGCTTGCCTGACGGACGAGGATGACAGCGGCATTGAGGTCTATTGCCGGGAGCAGGAGGAGGAGGAGGAAGATGAGGAGGAGAATAAAAGGAAATCCAAGGTGAGAGTATACGGAGGAAGAGGAGAATATGAACAAGCAAAGGGGTGTTCGGGGTGACTGGCAGAGGACTGCCTGAGGGTGACTGCGATGGGGGCCTGGAATAAGCTGCTGCAGGGTACATGGCTGTGAGGCCCATTGAGATGCCAGTTTCTACCAGGCTGATAAGCAGCATGAAGGCAACCAGCTGCGTCAGCGCTTTGGCTTTGACCTGCTCTGCGTGTGGTTACTGGATCTCTTTACACGCTGATAAGAGAGCTGGACTCCTCCTCTCTGTGCATAAAACAGGACCTGCTTCAACAATTAGCAGGCACGTGGCTCTTTAAGAGTTTGGTTACTAATGGCCTGTAGGGAGACAGCTCCGTGTACTGTAACCAGAGCCCTGAAATCCAGAACTGGCGGCCTGGTGCTTTCCATTCTTCCCACAAAAAGCCATCACCTTGGGGTCATGCAGGGAGTTTTAAACTGGGTAATAAAGATTACAGGGAGTCTGATCTGAGCAGGATCTGGTCTGGTCAGGGAGACCTTCAAGGGAAGCCAAAGAGATGTGGGTGATTCTCCTAGTCTCTCTCGCCTTTCTGGCCACTTGGATATTTTGTCATCTGCCACAAGAATAGGGGTGTTAGCTCCACTGTCCTGGCCAAATCCAGTCTGGGGGCTAACTGGAGTTACAATTAGCGACAGTATGTTTATTTCCTGCTCTACTCTGCTGTGTTGTCAAACAGCCATCATGCTCCACCCCAGAGGTGCTTGCATGCCAGTAGTGGATGAAGTGATGACTATCTCTGGAAAACATAATTGGGGGTGGGGGATGGGGTGTTCAGGATGAAAGTTTCTAGATAAATGTGAACAATTTATTCTCGTTGCTCCAGAAATCTCTTGAAATTTTTCAGTGAGCCTGTTTTTCTCCCTGCTTCTTCCTCCATGGCCCCAGTTGGTTATGGCTAAGTCACTCTGGCAGGAGCGTGGTGGTGGGGAATTTCGGGTGTCACTTGGTGGACAATGCACAAGCTAGAGCAAGGCGGGGTGCAGACAGCAGCTGTGCCTGCTCCCAAGAGAAGCCTGGACTATAAACCAAGTGATATCTCCTATTCTCCTCCTTCAAGCAGGAGACAAAACGTGCGGAGGCTCCCAGGCTGCAGGTTTCTAGTGGCTTCACTTGGGACGAGGGTTTAAATGCCCTGGAGGTGCCAGTATCGAATCGGAAAGAGGAGAGCTCAGACAGCGAGGAAGAGGACGACACACAGTCCATGGTACAGTATCCTGGACATCGCCACCTGGGCGGGAGCTGCTGTAACTTGCCTTCTCGTCACTTACTGTCTTTGTGTCAGATGGCATAGGCTGTGTTTAACCCCAGGGACTGTCTTCACCAATCAGATCTTATTATGGTCTTTTAAGGTGTGTGGATAAACATAACCATCTCCAAAGAGAGAGGAAGGTGACGATCTTTGAGGGATAGCACGGGCAGGTGCTGTGCGAGTGGAGTTTCCTTCTCACAGCCCTACCCATGCACCTCAACCCCTGTCCTTCCAGTCCTGAGCCACACCCATCCCCTGATGTTCTGCCAATGCACCTCAGTCTTGACCTGTAACACCCCAGCCCTTCCAGAGCAGACAGCTACGCGGTGGCAATTGCACTGGTCACCAGCAACCACTGGGCTTGTGCTGCGGAAAAAAATGTCGGATGAAATCACATGCGAGTGGAGTTAAAGTGTAAACTCTGCAGTCAGAGGTGCAAAGTTAGGGAATTAGCTCAGTCCCTTGATGTGCTTTAAGGGAAACGAATATCCCTTCCCCCTTGTGACTCTGCTCTTCTGAGACGCAGCCTCCGGTGGGGTTTCAAAACGCTCTAGGTTTCATTTCCCGCTCAGTGTGTTGAATAGACACCCCCCAGGATGCCCTAGTGCCTGACCATCTTGCGTCCATCATTCCCTTGGGGTGCTAGATGGTGCCTGAAGTATTCCAAAGTGACCCTGCCTCTTGTTCTCACCCCTTTCCTTGCCCGCTTCAGAGGAAGAAGCAGACGAAGAAGGAGAAGGAGCAAGAGAAGCAGAGGGTGGAGAAGGAGCTCTCCAAGATCGAAGCCGCCCTGATGGATCCCAATCGGCAGCCCCAGACGGCAGACGACTTTGACCGCTTGGTGTTGAGCAATCCCAGCAGCTCCATCCTGTGGCTACAGTACATGGCCTTCCACCTCCAAGCCACGGAGATCGAGAAGGCCAGGGCGGTGGCGGAAAGAGCACTCAAAACCATCTCCTTCAGGTAAAACGCTTCCCCCCGGCATGGGAGGGCAGCAGCTTGATGTACACTACACGTGCACGGGCACCTAACCTGCCTCTAGAAATGAAATGTAGGGACGCCAGCCACCAGGGTGGGGAATAGAAAGTGCTGCCCCAGAAACCCCATAGTACTCAAGGGCTGCAGTTCTCCGCCTGCCTTGTTTGAGGGAGGCCCCAGACTGAATCGCTGACGTGACACTACGTTGGTCTGCAGCTAGCCCATCGTGTGCTGTGATCCAGTTAGAACTTAAAGCTAAGCCGGGCCCAGCCTGGGCATGGCTAGGATGGGAGACGTAAGGGAACAAATGGGTGCTGCAGAAAGAGCAATTGATAATTCCATAGGTGCCCAGTCTTCCTTCTCAATCAGTACTGAGCCAGTGTCCCAACGTGGTGCTGTGGTTCTCGTTTAGATGAGACCTAATACTCTTTTCTGACTCTTTTCCTGAGAGTTAGGGTGTTATCCTTGGTCCTGTGGGCTTACGTCAACATGAGTAAATACATTCTGCCTCCTTTATATTCTCCAGACAGTTTCAATTGGCTACACAATTCTTCCTCTCTTACAGTGTGGCGTTACTGTGCACCGTAAAACAACTACCACACTCCGCCCCAGAGAGGGCTGCATTTGAGTGGTGCAGTGATGCAATCCCTTAGCCAACCTTACAGGCGTGTTGGGGCTCAGCTAATGTTTGTAAAGGGTTTTGAGTTCCTCCGACAAAGTTCTTGTCCTGTTTTGCTTTCAGGGAGGAGCAGGAGAAGCTGAACGTGTGGGTAGCTTTGCTGAACCTCGAGAACATGTATGGCACGGAGGAGACTCTGATGAAGGTCTTCGAGAGGGCCGTTCAGTACAATGAGCCCCTGAAAGTCTTCCAGCACCTGGCTGACATCTATGCCAGCTCTGAGAAATACCAGGTGGGTGCCTGGACCCCTGAGTGCTGCTCACCACCAGGGCAGGAGATGAGCTTTTTTTTTCTTAGAAAGTGCCTAGCCGAACCCAGCGTTTGCTCCCCAGTTGGGTGTATCTGACTGAGAGTTATGGTGCAGGCCTGCGTGAGCTGTTGGGAGCAGCAAGGGAACTTCCCATCAGTTTATTTCTTACATGGGTCTTCCCCACGTAGCATCTGCCTGTTAATCTGTTCCCTGTGGTGCATAATAGGATGATCTGTCTGTTACCAAGACTTGATTTCCTCCAGGCCCTCTGAATTTGGCGCTCCTGAAAGGGTGAGGGACCAGTCGCGCTGATTAGAGCTGGAGATAATGCAGGTGCTAGGCAAGTTTCCCACACAGCTGTGCCAATGCATCCCAGTCCTGACTTTGCAACTGCTCCTGCAGTTCTGCTCCTGGGCTTGGCTTGGCCTAGCAGTGATAGATAGGCATGTCAAACTGTCCCTACAGACCCAGCGGGGAAACACCAAACTCACAGGTTTAGAGCTTAAGTGACAGTATCTCATTCCCAGCATGCAGAGGTGAAAGGCCCAGTGCGTTCACTCTGCTCCAGGGATACTGTTTCCTACATGGTCAGAAGCCCCAGACAGAGTAAAAATCCACCCTTGTAGGGAGGCAGCGTGGTCAGCTGAGCCAGGCGCAGGCCTGGGAGTCGGGAGACCTGAGCGCTGTTCTTAGCTTGGCAGCGAGTTGCTGTATGAACTGGGGGAAGCTGCTCCGCTGCTCTGAACTCCAGTTTCCCCATCTGTGTTTTAAAAAGAGCGGAGCTAATGATACTCCCCCGCCTCTGTAAAACGCGCTGGAGACGGTACGTGGCAGAGCTAGGCGACCGTTGCTATGCCGGCATAACCCGGAAGTGTAGATGCAGCCTACAGCAACACAAGGGGTTTTTCCATTGGTGAAAGAACATGGCGCAACCGAGCAATGGTAGCTATGTCGACAGAAGCATTCTTCTGCTGACATAGCTGCGTCTACACTGCGGGTTAGAGTGGTGTAGCTGTGGCACTCGTGGGGGGTTGGATTTTTCACACCCCTGTCTGATCTGGCTGTGTCGACCTAACTTTTAAGTGTAGACCAGGCCTTAAAGATCACGGCTGGAAAGCTCTCCAGAAGTGCCAGGCTCTAGTATGAGGTTGCGTGATCCAACCCGATGTTAGACTGACCTCTCCGTCCCTCTCTGGTATCTTTCCAGCAAGCTGATGACCTGTACAACACGATGCTGAAGCGGTTCCGCCAGGAGAAATCCGTGTGGTTGAAATACGCCACCTTCCTCCTGAAACGGGGCCAGGTGGAGGCCACGCACAGGCTCCTGGAACGCGCCCTCAAGGGCCTGCCAAATAAAGAACGTAAGTGTCCCAAGGCTGGCTTCTCTCCCACTCCATGTGTCCTCCTTCCCATTCGTTGGGTTCCCGCTTCTCAGGCGCTTGGTTGATCTTTGGTATTCTGCCGTGCTAACAGCTGGGAAGAAGCAAATAGGTCTGCAATCTCCTGATGCCTGGCAGCGATGGGGAGGGGAGACTTTTGGCCAGGATGCCAAAGCCAACCCTCCTGGAACACGCTAAGCCATGGGATCGGCTCGCGCAGAGCAGAGAGGACCTCGTTTTTTAAGGTCGGAAAACCCCGACCCAAAGTCAGCTGCTCTGCATGTGTGTTCCCCTTCTGAAGGGGAAGGGCTGCAGGCCCTGCTGGGATTTGAGTCATGGTTCCAGGGAGCCCTGGAGGGTTGAAACCCAAGAGACAGACACCTAAGACATCCCCTCCAGGAGAGAGCGGAATAAAATGCTGAGATGGGAAGTGAGCTGCAGTCGACTCTAGGGATGCAGATCCTCATCCCACCAAAACCTCTTTCTGAGCAGAGACTAAAGGATTGGCCGCAGATAGCATTGTCCTTGGAGCTGTGCCAGCCTCTTGCTTGGATATTTGGCAGTTGTCTGCATGTGTTTGGGGGGTGGGCGGGAGGGGCTGGAGAGGGACAGGCGCCCCTGCTGGTGTGTGCAATGCCCTGAGCAGTGTCTTCTCATTACAGATGTGGATGTGATTTCCAAGTTTGCTCAGCTGGAGTTCCACTTTGGGGACCCCGAACATGCCAAGGCCATTTTTGAGAGCACGCTGAGCAGCTACCCAAAACGCACGGACATCTGGTCCATCTACATAGACATGATGATCAAACACGGCAGCCAGAAGGAAGTACGGTGAGTGCTTGCGACACAGGGCGGCGGGGGGGACGGGGGTAACATGTGCAAGGCTTAAAACGCGCCTCTGCAGGGAGTGTGGATACCTTGCAGTATGGAGGATCCCAGAGCAACAGCGAATCTGTGTTGCATGGGGAAGGCAAATGGCTCTGGGCTCATCTTCGTTGGAAAGGAGGAGACCTTCAGGGGCCCAATGGGCAGACTTGGACGGAGCTTTCTCAGCAATGCAGGGTCCAGAAACTAGCGAATCTGATTTAAATCTTCAGGACCCCAGGAAGATCTACACAGCACGTGGGGAAGTCCTTCTGCATGTCTCTTGACCTCTTTTTATTCCCTGCCTGGATCGCTTCTGCAGTAACTGATTCTGTATGTCTAAAGGCTGAGAGCAAGAGGCCACCACTGCCTGAGGAGCAAGAACCTAATTAACCTCTTTATTTAATAGGAGTACTTGTGGCACCTTAGAGACTAACAAATTTATTAGAGCATAAGCTTTCGTGGGCTACAACCCACTTCTTCGGATGCATTTGGATCCAAGGGGTTGGATCTGTATTCACCAGGAGTTGGTGGGAGGAAGGAGGGGGGATGGTTAATTTCTCCTTGTTTTAAGATCCAAGGGGTTTGGATCTGTTTTCACCAAACCTCTCTTTATTTAATGCTGCCACTCTTTCTGCTCCATATGCGTGTGGCTTCATCTCCCAGCCCCCAGGCTGGGTCGCCCCTCAGCAAGGATGTGAGATTGCTCCTTCATATGCAAAGTGATAGCGAAAGCCGATCAGCCCTTCCATTTTACATGGTCCCTTAGTTAGCCTTCAAGGGATTAGATTTTTGTTGGTAGATATTGATAAACATCAGCTTCACCACACACACTCAAATCAACGAAAAATATTTCCATGGATGATGATCAAAATTTCCAGATAGAGTAAGAAAAATGCTGCTTGAGAACTTATTAGAGTTTCATTTAAGGCTAATTACTTCATATATTTTGACATGATGTTGACAATTTGTGCTTTAACAGTTATAAAACTTTATTTTTATAGGGGGAAGGGATAGCTCAGTGGTTTGAGCATTGGCCTACTAAACCCAGGGTTGTGAGTTCAATCCTTGAGGGGGCCATTTAGGGATCTGGGGCAAAAAAAAATCTGTCTGGGGATTGGTCCTGCTTTGAGCAGGAGTTTGGACTAGATGACCTCCTGAGGTCCCTTTCAACCCTGATATTCTATGAAACTTTTTGAATCTCAACATCTACTGTCATTAAATAATTACTGTCTGACCCTGTCCCTCATCTGACCCCCCCATAATTACCCACAACTATGAATATTTAACTTGATAAAATATAAAAAAAAATGCTTAAAACCCATAACTGCACAACTGTAAAAATTTAGATATATAAAAATAGAAAAAAAGTGTAAACAATCATCGATATTATTGGTCAAAATTATTTTAAAAAATTGAATTCTGCCAAGTCTACCCTGGGGGCAAGCAGGGGTACTCACTGGCATGAGCTTGGAGCTAGCAAAAGGAAATCCTGCTTTCCACAGCATGTAGGCCATCTGGGACCATTCCCTGAGCTCAGTTGAATACTGTGCCTGGATTTTAGAGACACGGCTGTATAATATGGCCAGTAACTGTGCAAGCAGAGAGGAAGGGGGTTATGAAGCCTGCTGATTCACAGGGCTCTGACGGTTCATTCTACAACAGGCTGAGTGCATGTACTGTGTGTCCTTTGCCTTCCCCTGAAGTATGACCTGTCCTGCCCATTGTTCAGAGGCAGGATATCAGGCTTGCGGCTCCAGTGCTGATCCACGGTCTGAATGGGTTTTTGATTCTTGCAGGGATATTTTCGAGCGGGTCATTCACCTGAGCCTGGCAGCGAAGAGGATGAAGTTTTTCTTCAAGCGTTACCTGGATTACGAGAAGAAATATGGCACGTCGGAAACCATCCAGGCTGTGAAAGTAGCGGCGCTGGAGTACGTAGAATCCAAGAGCTCTCTTGCCGAGAGCTAACTCCCAGAGCAGAGAGACTCAAATCATGTTGCAGACTCTGTGTATGTGGTGCTGGAGGCGGAGATCCACAGTAATGGGCTGCCTGTGTCCATAACTAGTGCGTTTCCTGAGAGGACCAGCAGCCGGCTGGATTGTCCAGGACCAAAGTGAGGTGGAAAGAAGTCAACATTTACAGGCGCTTTCCATCTTGCCCCACTGTACAACAGACTTTTAACGTGTGGATGATTTTGGATCTAGTTATTTAAGTGCTGATTGTTTTATACCTGGTAGAAACTGCTGTCCTCTGTACTGCTTTCCTGTGGAAATGGGGCAGTCAGTGACTCCCCATCATTAAATGCAATGACCTGGCATAAGCTCCCTTCTCTTTCCCCACCCGCTCATCCCAGCATTGCTCAGAATGTTCTCGCATTTCACCTGCTTCGGTGTCTTTCAAGATTTGTCTCCAGTGCTTTTGTGCTGCCAGCAATTTAACACAACCACCTGCCTGATTGATTCCTCTTAAAGCCTACGGCCATCCAATTAAACTTGATCCGGTTCTCATGAGCAGCTCTAGGGTAACAAACACGGCTTGTGATGGACACTAATTAGAAAGGAGACTGCCTCAGCAGCAGCTGTCTGAGGTCATTAAACTGAGAGAAGAAACTAGGTGTTACTTGCTGAAAAATAACCACTCCCATTTTAACCTTTTCATACTTGGAATAGGACTGCCTAGCTAAGGTTCTTATATGGCTACCATCTGCGTAGTATCCGAGCCCTTCTCAGTCTTTAATGAATGTATCCTGACATCCTCACTGAGGTAGGGCAGTGCTGTTACCCCCTTGTACAGCTGGGGCGTTGTGACACAGGTGCAGTGACTGGCCCAAGGTCCCACAGGAGGTCTGTTGCAAAACAGCAAATTGACCCCTCACCTCCTAAATCCTGGACTTAGCACCCTAACCACTGGACCATCCTGCAGAGTCCAAGGGGCCCCATGCAAGTGGTGATGCTTAGAGAACATTTTTCATCAAAAGGGCTAAAGACTAGATCATAACACAAAGAAACCTATCTCCATACACCCCCATTGCCAGCTGCAAAGGAAGTGGTGACTTCCTAAGCCACATTAGGTTCCTACCAGTTCTTTTGTTAATTAATATTTGTCTTGGACATGTTCCAGCAAGTTCTGAGCAAAACCACCCTCTGTGTTTCTCTTTTTAAATCCACTTAACTCCATGAGACGAAATCTATTATTAGAAGCTATACAGTTATAGTATCAGGGAGCCACTGGTTCTTTTGTGCTTCTCCAGCTGAGGGGGTTGTACATCTCCTTGAAGAGCCTAATTCCAAATGTCGCACCCTTCTTCCTGAAAGAAAATGTGACCTCTTCCATTTACTGGAGAATAGTCCACCAGCAGGATCTCTCATTGTTCCCTTCCGAATCTGGGTACGGGCCAAAGACTCTTAAGTAACATAAGCACTCATGAGATGAGGGAAGATCCTCACATGGGTTAGTAACTGATTAAAAGACAGGAAGCAAAGGGTAGGACTAAATGGTCAGTTTTCACAATGGAGAGTGGTAAATAGCAAGGGTCCCCCCAGGATCTGTCCTGCGGCCTGTGCTGTTCAACATATTCATAAATGGTCTGGAAAAAGGGGTAAACAGTGAGGTGACAAAGTTTGGAAATGATACACAATCACTTAAGATAGTTAAGTCCAAAGCTGACTGTGAAGAGTTACAATGCGATCTCACAAAACTGGGTCACTGGGCAATACAATGGCAGATGAAATTCAACGTTGATAAGTGCAAAGTAATGCTCATTGGAAAATATAATCCCAAGTATACATACAAAACAATGAGGTCTAAATTAGCTGTTGCCACTCAAGATAGCAATCTGGGAGTCATTGTGGTTAGTTTTCTGAAAACATCTCAATGTGCAGCAGCAGGCAACATGCCACTGTATAAATCCATGGTATGCCCACACCTTGAATACTGAATGCAGATCTGGTCGCCCCATCTCAAAAAAGATGTATTAGAATTTTTAAAAGTACAGAGAAGGGCAACAAAATGATTAGGGGCATGGAACAGCTTCCATATGAGGAGAGATTATAAAGACTGGGATTGTTCTGCTTGGTAAGGAGATGACAAAGGGGGGTATGATAAAGGTCTATATAATCATGAATGGTGTGGAGAAAGTAAATAAGGAAGTGTTGTTTACCCCTTCACATAACACAAGAGCCAGGGGTCACCCGATGAAATTAATAGGCTTAAAACAACCATAAGGAAGTACCTCTTCACACAATGCCCCATCACCCTGTTGCCAGGGCATGTTGTGAAGGCCAAAAGTGGTTCAAAAAAGAATTCTATATGGAGGCTAGGTCCATCAATGGCTTTTAGCCAAGATGGTCAGGATTGCAATCCCATGCTCTGGGTATCCCTAAGCCTCTGACTGCCAGGTGCTGGGACTGGACAATGGGATGTTCAATAATTGTCCTGTTTTGTTCATTCCTTCTGAAGCATCTGGCGCTGGCCACCGTCCAAAGACAGGATACTGGGCTAACTGGGACAGACCAATGGTCCTGTATGGCCGTTCTTATGTTCTGTTTTTATGCGCCTTCTGCCCACTTTTCATCCCTTCCTTTGTATGTAGAGAAGGAATGAGCATCCGAAGGCTGTCACTGATCAACATCACCCAGGTTGAGCATCTTCTTCTTAGGTTGGTTCTGTGGCCTCAGGGTTAGAGGGGTTAATCTGAGGCGTGGGATTATGGGCCCTTGAAAATGTTATAAAATTATTGCATGCTAACGTTGTGACGCTTTTGTTTAACCTTTAGTAAGAAGGGTGTGGGTTGTAATTAGTTGAATCTAAGATTAATCTGTGATCTTTAAAGCAAATTTGTGTTTTCTCTTTTCAGCCATTAGAAAGGCAGTGGAAATGAATCTTGGCTACAGTGCCTGTTTTTTTAATTTTTGCCTGGTTGATGGAGGTCTCCCAAGAGAGGAACAGGCTGTTCCTAGCTCAGTCTTGGGCTCCCTCCTTCATTACAAAATCCATGCTGGATCCCTCGTTGATAACCAGCAGAGCCCATGGCTAGAAGCTGCTGGAGGGGTGGGGGCTATTGCTTGCGATAGCCTGCGTTCCTGCCTCAGCTGATGGGCATGAATAGCAGTTACTCCTTATGCTAAATCCTGACTTCTTTCTATTTGTCATGCTTTTATAAGCGTCCTGGTTGTGGTCTGTTGGAGATCTCCTTGGAGAGCTGCATAGAATGTCTGCACCCTGAAGGAGAACTAAAAAACCCAACTCAAACACCTTAGCGAAGGGGCTGCCATCACTTCACTTCCTGCCAGCATGTGATGTGTAGCTATGATAATCTATGTGTATTAGCACTAGCAGTCCGTGAGATGTCCCCCAGTGCCCCTTTCCAATTGCTAGCCGTGCTCCTGCTCTCTTACTCACAAGAGAGCACAGTGACAGAGCAGGATCTGGTCCTTCCTTCACCCACTGCATCGATCCTCTGTGAAACCTGCACCCAAAGCAGTGCAACAAGGATTATGAAAGCAATATCACCAACTCTCATAATCGTTGGTGGTCTGCTTAAAGCAGGGGTGGGCAAACATTTTGGCCCGAGGGCCACATCTGGGTATGGAAACTGTATGGAGGGCCATGAATGCTCATGAAATTGGGGGTTGGAGTGCGGGAGGGGGTGAGGGCTCCGAGTGGGGATGCAGGCTCTGGGGTGGGGCTGGGGATGAGGGGTTGGGGGTGCAGGAGGGTGCTCTGGGCTGGGAGCGAGGGTTCGGAGGGTGGGAGGGGGATCAGGGCTGGGACAGGGAGTTGGGGTGCAGGAGAGGGTCAGGGTGCAGGCTCCAGGCGGTGCTTATCTCAAGCAGCTCCCAGAAACAGCAGCATGTCCCCACACCAGCTCCTGCACGGAGGTGTAGGCAGGTGGCTCTGCACGCTGCCCTGTCCGCAGGCACCGCCCCTGCAGCTCCCATTGGCCACGGTTCCCGGCCAATGGGTGCTGAAGGGGTGGCGCTTGGGGTGGGGGGCAGCATGTGGAGCCCCTTGGCTGACCCTACGCTTAGGAGCTGGAGAGGGGACATGCCACTGCTTCTGGGAGCCGCGTGGAGTGGGGCAAGCCCCCTGACCCCACTCCCCAGCTGGAGCGCCAGAGCAGGGCAAATCCTGGACCCCACTCCTCAGCGGGCGCTCAAGGGCCGGATTAAAACATCTGGAGGGCTGGATGCGGCCCCTAGGCCGTAGTTTGCCCTCCTCTGGCTTAAACCTTCAACTCCTGGAGTTGTGTGAACATGACAGAATTGGAACTTTAATTTAAAAAAATTAAGTTTCTGGCACTCATGTTCATATTTTCAAGCTTTTCTTTGACCCATCTGCACCCAAAACGTTCAGAAAGCAAAGAAAAAGAATTCAATTTTATTTATTTATTTTTTAAAAAACCTCAATTTTTAATTGAGTCGCATGAGTTTGAAGTGCCTGACTCATGCTATTTGTACACTTGGGGTTGACAGTACCATGAAAGGCCTAGCAAAAGTGCATAAAAACGAGCGTATATAAAGGCGCATTATAAATAAGAAAAGCCAACTCCAATGTGCTGTCAACCATTAAAATAGGGACAATTGTGTGTATCTAATTCAACATGCAATTAGAGACAGGTGAATTGTGCAGTGCTATAAACGCAAATCAAGTCTCCAGCCAGTGGACAACACCATAGTGCAATGGCAGTGGTACATTTAAACCTCCCCTCTCTCCGTTTCTCAGAGTGGAACTTAG